CCTCGCCACCGCCCGCCATCCATGACTCGCCGTGCATCAGAGCCGATCATCGAGCCCGAAAAAATCCTGAGCCATCGGATTCGACACCCCACGGGAATCAAAAGGATTGAATTCCTCGTTCGCTGGAAGGACCGCACGCCAACTGAGGATAGCTGGGTGCCCCTGGCCAACATTGAAAACCACCCTGCCCTGCAAGTGTACCTGAGGAGCCGGGGATTCCGCGACATACACGCACTCGCGTAGCGGAGGGGGCTTCTTGAGGGGGGGGGGGGTAGTGTAAGGAATTTTCTCGGCATTCCTTACGGAGCCCGACTACATCGCGTACAGCAACAGCCGTTGTTCGCCCGTTACTGCTAACGGAACTTCGTCGACTTCGCGCGCACTGTTTCACCAAACCTCGCACTGCTGGCCCGGCCGTGTCGGCCTACGCTTCGGGACTAGCCCAAGCCTTGCTGCCAGCATAGCACTGGCTAGCTCGCACGCACCGCGTTACCGTTTGCATGCTTCGCATATAAATGTTCGCTCATGCCTTCGCTCACATCTTTGTACTCGTTTGACACAGTGCAATTCTCGCTACTTAGATTCATTGCACCCGTAACACTTGTGCTCGTTTGGACTGTCGAGGTTCCATTTTTTCTATCATCAAGACCTGTTGACCCGTTTCGCAGAAACGAACCTAGAGCAAACGCTTCTGTGGCATGGGGTTCCACGACGAGCCCGAATGAATTGAGTGGTGTGGCGACAGGGGTCTGCACTGCATGGTGGAGAGTTGCATATTGCTGTGGCCTCCTCGGCTGGCAGGAAAACGAATACCGGGTAGATTCGGCAGCACGCAATGAAATTTCTCCAACACTCGCTCCAATGATGTGGAGTGGGCATCACGCAACGCAAGAAGCTTCTCCAATGCCGGGCAGTTCCAAATTTCCATTTCGCGTGGCGAAGGAACCAAGCATGAAAGGTGAATGGTGGTTCACCACTGCCAGTGCCACCTGGAGATTGAAAATGTTCTAGCAAGAACCACACAACCCTTCCATCCATCCATCCCGTCCCTTTTTATGATTGACGACTGCAGAATTGTACTCAACTCACCCGTAGTTGTGATCCCTTTCCCACACCCTAACGGACCAACCCATCACACCTCTTCTCTGGCCAAGGGTTTCTAATCTTCTCGGAGCTCTAACTTTCAATTAGCTGTTGTAGTACTCATTTCTGTGGCTGCTTCCGTTGTCTACCGCAAGCATAATCTGCCTTTGCCTGCTCGTCTCCCAATAGATCTGGACGCCGGGTTTGTCAGCGTTGCTGTTTAGAAAGCTGTCGGCCCACCCATCCAAGGTGGAGACTTCCAAGTTCCAGTGTTTTTTTATGTCTGTTGACACCTTCGCTGTTCTCAGGTCGGCAGGCCTGCCCGCAGAGTATTTTTTTACGACAAGGAAACGGCATGCTGGTTCTCCTCCGAGAAAGAAGGAGCTGATCTCATACACCTCTGTTTCGGTTGTTCCTGAAAAGCGTTACCAGCTTCGTGGTGGTTCCGTGCGGTGCTTGCTGCCTGCTTCTTAATCATCCACTCGTCGAGTTCTTAAATCGTTACGTGAAGCGACATCATGGCTCTCGTTAACATCGGTCAGGACAACAAGGACGATGGCTTCTATCGCTACAAGATGCCCAAGCTGATTACGAAGATTGAGGGACGCGGTAACGGCATCAAGACCAATGTTGTGAACATGGTCGATGTTGCCAAAGCTCTTGCACGTCCTCCTTCGTACACCACTAAGTACTTCGGTTGCGTGCTGGGAGCGCAGTCGAAATTTGATGCGAAGACGGGCACTTCTACCGTGAACGGCGCGCACGACACCACGAAGCTGGTTCAGCTCCTTGAAGGTTTCATCAAGAAGTACGTCCAGTGTTACGGCTGCGGCAATCCGGAAACCGAGGTCATCATCACCAAGAACCAGATGATTACGCTCAAGTGTGCTGCGTGCGGCTTTGTCTCGGATGTCGACATGCGGGACAAGCTTACCACGTTCATCCTCAACAATCCTCCAGAGGTTAAGAAGAAGGCTTCGAAGACCATGAGGCGTGCGGAGAAAGAGCGCCTGAAAGCTGGTGAAGCTCTTGACGAGGAGAAGAAGTCTAAGGGAAAGAAATCTAAGGATGGAGAGAAGAGCTCAACAAAGAAGAGCTCTAAGAAGAAGGCCGAGGACGAAGAGAAGGTGGAGTCTCCGGCTTCGAGCAACAAGGATGAGGAGGAAGATGATGATGACGACGTCGAGTGGCAGACTGACACTTCGGCTGAGGCAGCGAAGAAACGCATTCAGGAGCAGTTGAGTGCGGTGACGGCCGAGATGGTGATGGTGTCTACTGATGAAAAGGAGTTGAAGAGTCCCCAGCAGAACGGCCACGTGTCGAAGACGAATGGCAAGGTGGAGGAGAAGCCTGATCCGCATCAGGTCCTGGTTTCCGAGCTGAGCGACTACATCAAGACCCACAAGCTGGCCGAGGTAGCCAACCATGTGCTCAAGATGACGGTTACCAAGGATCTTCTTGCTGCGCTGATCGAGGCCATGATGCACGGGATCTCCAAGGGCTTCACGAAGGAGTTCGTTAAGAAGAAGGCCGTGTTCGCCGCCATCGTTAATGAAGACGAGGAGAAGCAAAAGCTGCTTCTGTTTGCTATGGAGTTTTTCTTTGCTGTCAAGGCGGGAGATGCTGGCAAGGAGATCGCCCTTGTCTTAAAGGTGAGAACTCGTTACATTCACAAGTGTTAGTGCTGGAACTCGTCTGTTAATTTTTACTTGGGCATTGCCTCGTCTGTTTTTTTTTTTTTCCAGGCTCTGTACGATGAGGATATTCTGGAAGAGGATGTCATCCTGGAGTGGCACGAGAAGGGAGGAAATGATTTGCTTGACAAGGAACAGTCTGCAAGTGTTCGTAAGCTGGCTGAGCCGTTTGTGAAGTGGCTGAAGGAGGCAGAGGCTGATGATGATGATGACGATGAGTAGTTAGGTTGTGTGATGATGTGGAGGTCTTAGGTTGAACTGAGGTTCTTTTTATGTGCGTACTCAGCTGTTCTGGTATATTCATTCCATCTCATATGTTTGGGAAACGTTGCTTGAATGAATCAGGCAGTGGGTTAGGAGCTTTTGCCTCGTTTCATGTGAGCCACAGTGTTGGGATTGGATCTGCCAGGATACATTAGTCTGGCGCCAGTCTAAGTAGAGCGTTTTTCGTTTTCACGTGTACACTTATGATCAAGTAAAAAGGCCAAATTTTCTAGAGGAGATATTCAAGGAGAGCCCAATATGGGCCAACACTGTCACCCATGGCCGCCACACATCCTCAAGCGTGCGCCTGAATTATCGCCAGCATTGTTGCGGAGACCGTGAGAAGGGCGGAAAGCAAGCCGCGCTATTCCGCCCTGGTTCCCCCTACCCCGCGAGCCTGCAAAACCGAGATACGCAAGGGGCACATGGCGAGCGGCTATTGACTGGCGGTCCTCCCCTTGAGCCTACTTCGCGAAGGACCACTCGACGATTCGTCAGCCAAGCCCAGGGTCCTTCCAGGTTCCGACGATCCCGCGCAACACACAAATCTACAGTGCGCCTGGTACGCACCTCTGTCCACTTGCGCAAAAATTCTCGTTTCAGTTCAGTACAGTACAGAGTGCTGTCGCTTGCCCTCCATTCACCTGCCCAGCTTGCGTTCCGTGCAACATTCCCCCCACGAGTTTTATTTTATTCGTCTGTGTTCCCTTCAATTCCCTTGCCTCTCTCTCGCCCTCTTTCTCCACTCCAGCAGCAGAACACCCTAGGACCGCATCTCAGGCTCAGCTTGCTGATGGTATCAGAAAAACCAGAGCAGTTTGCCGTACGATTGCCGTTATTGTGTTGGTCGTTGTGACGAGATAAGGTGGCGGTGTCGAAGCTGTTAGCGATACTCCGCGGTGCTCGGGTGGGCTTCGGCTGCTTCACGCTCAACGTCTCACCAGACCTATTTTTATTGCGCGTTCCATCCCGACCATTGCCTTACATTTCTATCGGAGCTTCTGGCGCCGCATGTTGACATCTGACGTCGCCCCGCCATCGGTCCTGCTTCTGTGCGCTCAACATCCGCATCAACATCAAAACTAGTTAGAATTTGGATCCGGCAATCTCGAGCCCCGAGACAGCTTGTCACGTGCAGGAGCCGTCTGCCGCCTGGTTACCACCTTGTTACCGCGCCGTCCAGCCTTGCGGCTTCCATGGATGACTGCAAGTCGAAAACCAAGTGCGTGCTTTTTCCCGCTTACCTCTTGCCTCTCATCGCCTCAACTCTTTGATCGTTACGCGTCATCTCCTTTCCAGCTAAAGCTTCCCGCTTCCTTCTTTCCCCCCTCCTACGCGCTTTATTTCGAGCTCGTCCCAAGGTATTTCTGTCATTGCATCGCATCTAGGTATTGTTTACGTTGCTTTCGAAGATCTATAAGAGCAGATTCGATTCCGGATCCCTTCTGATGCAGCATTGTTTTCCGCAGCGCGTAATTCTATCGCATATTTTAAGGGACACGCACGCGGAGCGGATCCTAGGGCACATTTTAGAACACGCGGATACTTTTATCCATCCTGACCAGTTCTAGGTCTAGGTCCTGCCCGTGACTCGTTACGAGCAGCAGCAGGAAATAATACCGTAGCGTAGGAGCAGGCAGGAAAAGTTGCGATCGCTAGAGCCTCGATCGTTTCCGTTGCACGGATGCGCCGTGAGCATGTGTGGTTGGAATGACCGCTGATGACGGGGAACAGCGATTGGTGTTCGCTGATCATTGGAAAGCACGCGCCACACCCGCGCACGCGCTTTCACGCACACCTCCACGCACGCACCCTTCGTAGATGCATGCGAATAGCAACCGCCTGTGCATCTGGTGCAACCAAACGCTGCTACTAGAATTTTTCCGCCTCATCTCGCGCTCGCGTCGCTATCTCTGCCCCTCGCATGTCATTGCCCCTTCGCATGGCATTGCCCCTCGCATGGCATTGCCCCTCGCATGGCATTGCCCCTCGCATGGCATTGCCCCTCGCATGTCATTGCCCCTTCGCATGGCATTGCCCCTCGCATGGCATTGCCCCTCGCATGGCATTGCCCCTCGCATGGCATTGCCCCTCGCATGGCATTGCCCCTCGCATGGCATTGCCCCTCGCATGGCACTACTGCGCAGCTACACCAGTCTGTCGCACGGTCCTCTTCCTCCTCTCCGCGTGCTTCGTTTTCGTGCCTTATCCCCGTGCGACGGCGCGCCTTATCCCATTGCATTGTGTCTGCGTCTCGTTATCAACATCCCGTTCTCGTTCCCCTCTCCCCTTCCCGCTCCACCCCCTCCCTTCCCATCCCTCGTCTCCACCCCCCCCCCAACCCCCCCCCCCCCCTTCCCGCGCGAACTTCCCGTTCCCTCCACCTCCCCACTCTCCTGCACCCGTTCCCTGACTCTTACTCAATGCGCAACGTGCGATGTGCCCCGCCAGGGCTGGCAAGGCGGCGCCGGCGGGGAATGGCGGCGCCAACGGCTCAGAATCGGGGATGGGCTCTGCTGCAGAGGCCCCCGCCGAGATGACGTGAGTGCGGTTGAGTTTGGTCCGATACGGTTGGGGGTGTCTCGGGACGCGTCAAGACGCTCTCTTGGGAACACCGTGGGTGCGACTGTTGGGATGGCGGGTGATCCGACGTGGCTGTAATGCCTTTGCTCGGGAGGGAGAGCGGGACGAGTGAGAAGAATGATCGTTGGTGTGAGTGAGTGGGATTGATCGAGTAAGGGATACCCGGCAGCAGCATCACGCCGCGCAGTCTTGATTTCCGTTTCACTGCTTCAATAGGGAGATCTTCAGAACATTCATTGAGGATGTTGTATGGAAATTTCATTATGCTCGAACAAATTTTGCCATTTCTTTTCCCCCATGCTGATCGCCCCAGCCTCCTCCCTCATCTTCTGCTCTCATCTCTCCCTCCCCTCATTCCCTCCTCTTATTCCGTCCCCCAACCCCGCCGTCGCTCGCGACCCCCCGCTTCTTCCCTCCCCCCCACTGCTTTCCCCCTTCCGCCCTTCCCCCGCAGGCGGCGGGACGTGTTGGACATAGTGCGCAAGCATTCCGACGCCCTTCCGCGCCCAGGCGCAGCACAACCAGGCGCTGGCTCCCCCCCCGCGCAGCAGGGGGCGCAGGGGGCGCAAGGGGCGCAGGGGCAGGCGCAGAGCGCGGGGGGGGGCGCGGAGGAGAACGGCGTGGATACAGCGACCGTGTTAATGGACGGTCGATATTGGCAGCAGATGCTGGATCTGTATTTCGTTAGAGATGACGGGAAGGGCCATTCTGCGGGGAAGGGGGGGAAAGGGGGAGACGCGAACGGGGGGGACGGAGAGGAGGGGAGCAGCAGCGGGGAAGGGGCGAAGGTGAAGAAAGCGGATGCGCTGTTTGATGACATGCTGTTCTTCGTGAGACAAGAGGTGCGTTGTTGGTCAGGAGGAGTGAGGGAGGGAGGGTGGGAGGCTGGGAAGGGGGGAGGGAGAGAGGGAGGGAGTGAGGGAAGGAGGGAGGGAGACAGTGAGAAGAGAGGGGAAGCGGGAGGGAAGAGAGAGGGAGGGGGAGGGAGGGGATAGAGAGGGAGGGAAGAGAGAGGGAGGGGGAGGGAGGGGATAGAGAGGGAGGGAAGAGAGAGGGAGGGGGAGGGAGGGGATAGAGAGGGAGGGGAGAGAGAGGCGGGGGCGAACGAGGCAGGTGCTAGAAAGGCAGGGGAAAGAGAGACAGGGGACTGTGTGCGAGAGGCAGACTATGCTGCTGCTGCTACTTCACAGCTTCCCATAAAACCTGGCTACCAGGTTACCACAGGATCTTAGTCGGGCTCTTTTCACCATGAAGCAGCAGTATTGACAAAGCCCGATCTCCTTTCAAACCTACTCTCCCCTCCCCTTCTTCCCCAACCCCCCCCAACGCCCCTCTCCCGTCCCTCATCCCTCCTCTGCCCCGCGTCTCCGTGCCTCCACCCGCCTCACATGCGCCTGCATCCTCTGCAAATGTGCGCGCTGGCACAGAAATCAACCTTTGGTCACATACTCAACTTCATCGGATCCCTCATGGTGCGTTGCGTTGCGTTGCCCACTCTCCTCCCGGCACTCTTGAGAATTCACTTTAGTGACTCCACACAAGCTCCCCTTATGCTGCAGCCAACAATCCGCGCCCGAAATAGCTCTATTTGATTAGCGTAGGCAGGAATGGGGGTTGGGCTGGGTTGGGCTGGGCTGGGTGGGGGAGTGGGGAGAAAAAGCGACACGGGGATGAATAAGCCTGCAAGGCGTCTGTCTGCTGTTGCTAGGCGTTTGGTGTTGCAAGCAAGGCTTCTGGTGCGACAGGGCTCTTCACTTTATCTCCTCATCTTGCCTTCACAACGTTCGTTTTCAGCGTCTCTGCCCCTCCCGTCCCTCCCTTCTCCCAATCCCCTCCCCTCCCCTCCCCTCCCCTCCCCTCCCCTGCCCTTTCTCTCCTCCCCTCTTCCCCCTCCAATAACACCCCCCCGTTCCTCCCTTCTTCTCCTCGTCCCCGCAATCCCCCCTCCCCGGCTATCCTCCCGCATCTCGCCCCCCTCTGTGCATTGGTCCGGTGCGGTGCGGTGTGGTGTGGTGTGTGCAGCAAGCGGAGGGGCCGCCGACTGAGGAGGCAGAGAAGGCAAAGCCCTTCTTTGTGCGCCGCTGGGGTCCCGATGTCAGTGCCTCAAGCCCTCCTCCACTGCCTACCCGCCTTGCGCCCTCCTCTGCTCCCTACCTGCCTGCCTCCCGCCCCCCTCTTCCCATCCTCGCCTGCCTCTCGCCTTCCTTTTGCCTGCCGTTTCCTCTCTGCTCCGCTTGCTATTCTGCAGACGCTTGGTCTTCTGCTCCCAATCTGCCCCCTCACTTACCTCTTACCTTCTGCCAATGGCCAATGCGTTGCACTCCATGGCCTCTAACCTCTATGGGTTTCCACTCGAAGCACACTGCATGGTTCTTCCCTCGCTCCTTGCCTCTTTCACTTACCTGCCTCTCTGCCTGCTCTCCCTCTCCCCACTCTTTCTGGCTCCTAAGCCTCAAAATACTGAAAAACTCCTCTCGTTTCTCCCTCTCATCCCTCCTATACCTCTCCCCCCCCTCCCTCCTCCTCTTCCTCTCCTCCCGCCTCCACCCCCATGGGACGCGTCTGCACTTGTCTACGTGCATGTCGCCACGTGTCTCTGTCTCTGTCTCTGTCTCTGTCTCTGCACATCTGTGCTGTGCGTGCACACACAGTTGGCAAAGGTGGTGGGCGAGAGTGCAGACGAGGTGGACTGGCGGCGCTCCTTCTATCTCAACCTCATCTGCCACACAGAGTTCACACTCACCGTCGCCATCTGCAGGTCAGTCACTTGCCACTCGCAGGTCTGTTGTTTAGCTGCCCCCAAAAACCTACTTCTTCAACCTCAACCTTATCGGCCTCACGGAGTCCACTTGCAGGGGACTTGCCACAGTCGAATCACTTGCCACTCGCAGGACTGTTTTTGAGCTGCCTCAGAAACAGACTCCGCCATATGTCTCAACCCAACGGGGTCCGACGGTGGTCCGACGGCCGTCGACCACCGTCGACCTGACCGACGGGCAGAAAAAAAATAAAACCCCATCGGATGGCATGCCATCCGAGGGAGGCATCAACCCTAAATCCATGCCTCCCTGTGTTTAGGGTTGATGCCTCCCTGACCGGATGCATGCCCGTCTGGGGTTTATTTTTTTTGCCTGCGGGCAGCGAGCTCATCCGGGCGGGGTCGCTTGTCGGCTGAGCTATACTGAGCCTTCTATCTCAACCGCATCTGCCACACGGAGTTCTAGTTTTGCGATGTCTCAAAGCCACACGTAGTGGATGCTCACCATCGCCTTCTCTGCAGGGCAGCGGCTCTCCACTCGCAGGTCACTCACTTGCCCACGCCCAGGTCTGTCTGTTCTAGAGCCGCCTTGAAAACAGATGCCTTCCACCTCAACCGAAGCGTGTAGCAGGGGCTTTAATGCATGCATGCAGCAGCTCTATCTGCCTCACCAGCACCATCGCCTTACTGCACGCGGTTCTCAAGTTTCCAGCCTTCTCTGCAACTGCCTCTCTTTCCAATCCCACTCGTGGTCTGCCTCCCACTGCTCCTGCTCCTGCTGCTTCTGCTCTCGCTGCTCCTGCTCCCACTTGTCCCTGCTTCTTCTCCTGCACCCACTGCTCGCTGCTTCTTCTCCTGCTCCCATCGCTCCCTGCTTCGGCTCCTGCTCCCTCTGCTCCCACTGCGCTCTGCATCTGCTGCTCCTCCCCCAAGTCGACAGGACCTGGAGGCGCATCGCATGTCAAGCAAGGCCCCTGTGCACCCCATGCAAAATCCGCGTGAACTGAGATGATATCTGCGGCGCCTTAAATATTCCTGCTCCTTCTGCTCCCACTGCGCCCTGCTATTTCTGCTGCTACTCCCTTCAGTCGGCAGGACCTGGAGGCTCATCGCAGGTCAAGCAAGGCCCCTGTGCACCCCATATCGAAGGTGGGCTGGGATATACGCACAGCATTCCATGGCATGGCATGACATGGCATGGGTGGGTCGGCTTGGCATGGCATGGCATGGGTCGGCTTGGCATGTGGTGCATGGTGCATGTGAAGGGTCGCACGGTATCCTTTTGCTCTGGACATGGTTGGGTTTGGGCATGCCTCGTACCATATCTTGTCCTTTCATGCCTGTCTCCTTGCCGTGACACGGAGTCTCTGGTTTCATGCCCCCATACCCCATGCCCCATGCTCCCATGCTTCCATGCCCCCACGCCCCCATGCCATCATACCCTGTTGCCCCATTCTCCACGCCCCGCGCGCCACACCCCACGCCCTCCCCTCTCACACTCCACGTGCAGGTGACAAAGAGGGTCTTTGCATCGCCCAGCAAGGCGCGTATAGACGTGGACACGTCCAAGGCACAGGAGACGTTGCCCTCCTTCCCCGAGATCTGCTTTGCTGTTGACGATTATGACAACACCTTTGAGGCCGTGGTGAGTGGCTGGCTGACCTCCGGTGTTGCGCGGTGACGTGTGGTGCCGTGCGGTGCTTTAATGGTGTTGTGACTGTGAGAGGGAGAGATGCTGCCCTCCTTCCCCGACATCGGCTTTGCTGTTGATGACTACGACAACACCTTTGAAGCCGTGGTGAGTGGCTGGCTGACCTCCGGTATTGCGCGGTGTCATGTGGTGGCGTCTGGTGCGGTGCGGTGCCGTGCGGTGCTTTGTTGAGACTGCGAGAATGAGAGACACTGCCCTCCTTTCCCCGTTTACCATGCTCACCCCGTTCCCATCCCCCGCCCCCTCTCCTCCTCCCGCACCACCGCCAGGTCTTGGAGGACCCTGCTCATTGCTTCTGCGTCATGCTGAGCGCACACGGAGGGGCGGCGTTCGTTCCCCCCAATGCTCAACCCTTTTCGCTCCCGTGTGTCGCCCTCCCCCCCCCACCCCCGCACTGTCAGGTCTTGGAGGACCCCGACCACTGCTTCTGCATGATGCTGAATGCACACGGAGGGGCGGCAGTCCCCAATCTGCACACCTCTTCCCCCGCCCTTTCCCATCCCCTTGCTGCCAGGTCCTGGAGGACCCCGACCACTGCTTCTGTGTCATGCTGACCACACATGGCGGAACGGCCTTTCCCAATGCTCACCCCTTTCCCCTCCCCCTCCTCTCCTCCCCCCCCAACCGCCAGGTCTTGGAGGACCCCGACCACTGCTTCTGTGTCATGCTGAACGCGCACGGAGGGGCGGCGTTCCCCCCGGACGATGTTGTGGAGAAGGTCAACCCGGACGGGTCCCGGCGCCTGTTCCGGCGCGGCACCAGCAGCGAGGCCAAGGCGCTTGGGGAGGCCACGGATGGGCAGCCCAAGGTGGTTGTGTGGTTGTGTGGGGGGTGTGCAGGGGTGTGTGGGGTGGTTGCGCAGGGTTGTCCATCCAGGAGTGCGGCGGAGTGTGTGGGGTTGTGAAGGGGTTTGTGGGGTGTGTGTGTGGGGGGGGGGGTGTGTTTGTGGAGTGACATGCTTCTTAAGGCGCCACAAAGATGGTCAACCGGACTGCTCCCGGCGGCTGTTCTGGCACGGAACCAGCAGCGAGTCATGAGACGATTTTTGAGGCGCCTAAAATATTGTCTCATGACTCGCGGCTGTTCCGGCGCGGCACCAGCAGCGAGGCCAAGGCGCTTGGGGAGGCCACGGATGGGCAGCCCAAGGTGAGTGGGTGGTTGTGGGTGTGTCTGTGCGGTTGTGTGGGTGTGGGAGAGAGATTGTGGAGTGGTCTCAAATGTCACTGATGTGTTAAGGAGGGATAGAAGGCGGGATGGAGGGAGTGAAGGGGGGAGGGAGGGAGTAAAGGGGGGAAGGGAGGGAGTGAAGGGGTAAGGGAAGGAGTGAAGGGGAGAGGGAAGCGGGCCAGTGGGGGGAAAAGGAGAGAAAAGGGGGAAAAAGGGGGGAAGGGTGAGAGGGAGAGGGAGGGGAGGGGAAGGGCACGGACGGGACTTGCTTCAACCGGTCCTCTTAATGCAACCAACCCACCTCTCTAACTCCGCCCATGTAGCCGCTGTAGCCTACTAATTCCAAGGACGGAGGGAAAGAATGGGAGGGAGGGACAAGACAAGCACAAATGAGACTGGCTCCTTGCATCCATCCATCCAACTGGTCCTCTTCTTAATGCACCCGACTCACCAACCAACCTCATCCGTGTAACCGACTCTCCGAACGCGATGCAGCCAACGCGTTTCCTTCACCCTTGCCCTTCCCTCTCTCTCATTATAAACCCCTTCTCCTCATGCGGTTCTCCCCTCATACTCTTCTCCCCTTATGTCCCCCCTGCTCATGCGCCTCCCCTCATGCGCCTCCCCTCATGCGCCTCCCCTCATGCGCCTCCCCTCATGCGCCTCCCCTCATGCGCCTCTCCTCATGCGCCTCCCCTCATGCGCCTCCCCTCATGCGCCTCCCCTCATGCGCCTCCCCTCATGCGCCTCTCCTCATGCGCCTCCCTCCCAGATCACGCTCTTCTCGGGCTTTGTCAGCTACCCGCTCGTCCGCTCCGCCTTCCAGGGTGCGTCCTGTCTCCTCCTCCTCCCACCTCCTCCTCTCCTTTCTCTCTCCCATCCACCACACGCGTGTCTCTTCACCTGCACCGTGCTCCGCTGTCAGATTCTGTGCCTGTAAAGCAAAGCGCCCGTCCTTCCTCCCTCTTCTTCCTCCTAACCACCGCGAGCATCTCTCTACAACTGCACCGCACTCTGCTGTCTGCTTCCCCATCTGCACCTCTCCTCCCCTTGCGTTGCTTGCTACCACAGGGGGGAACACGGGGTTCAGCATGTGGGGGCAGGTGCAGCCGCCCAAGCCAGAGAAGCTGGTGATGAGAGGGCCAGGGGGGAGAGGGGAGGCGGACGTTGCTGTCTCTCTCGTGCTGCCTGCCCCCGAGGGTGAGTGAGCTTCTTTCTAAGAGAGCTTCTGAGTGAGCTTCTGAGTGAGCTTCTGAGTGAGCGTCTGAGCGAGCTTCTTTCATTGGAGCCGGTCGATTTTGAGAGCTTTTTCTCAGAGAAGTCTCCTGCTCTGTTTTGCACGATGCGCTTGCAGCCCATTTTTTAAGAGGCGAAACATTCCTCCCACTTGTTTCACTCAGAGCTCGTGTGTAAGTGCTGGCCTGGCTTGGTATAAGTACCACGACCATCAGTGCACCCAGAGGATTCCGAGAGGGAGCGATGGTGAGCGATGGTGAGCGGTGGTGAGCGGTGGTGAGCATTCATTCTAGTCGCCACACACCAGGGCCAGGGCATAAGGCCATGCGTTACTCTATTTAAGAATGAGTAGGTACGATGTAAACCTTCTTTATACTCCCCCCCCGTACCACCATAGCAGTGCTCCAGACGAGACCGAGAAGAAGCGCAAGCTTAGAGAGAAGAAGAAAGACGGGAACAACCTCCACAGACCCATTGCCTAAAGAATTGCCTCACTTCAACCTTGTGTGTGTACTCTGTCTCGCCCTTCACCCCCCCCCACCGCAGTGCACCCAGAGGAGACCGAGAAGAAGCGAAAGCCGAGGGAGAAGAAGAAGAAGGATGGGGACAACCGCCACCGACCCTCTCTCTCTGAGCTTCAAGGCAAGCTATGGTCGGTGCAGTCAGAGTTGATGGCTCTTGTGGAGGCTCAGCAGCAGCAGCAGGAAGAGGTGGAGAAGGACAAGGCGAAGGGGAAGGGGAAGGAGGCGGCGGAAGAGGCGGAGGATAGGAAGAGAAAGAAGGAGGAGAATCAGCAGCGGTTGCGAGAGCTTCAGGTGGAGTTGAAATCGGTGCAGGAGCAGCTGCAGAAGTTGGGAGGTGGCGGGGAGAACGCAGGCAGTCCGAAGCACGGGGGGAAGGACAAGGACAAGGAGAGGGACTCGTCGGGAGGAGGAAGCGGGAGCGGTAGCGGTGGCGGTGCTGGGGGGCGGATCTCGGGGTTTTTCAAGAAGGTGACGCAGACACCTCCTAAGCGTACAATGGTTCATGATGATTTGGAGGATGCTGGTTCCCCTGGAGGAATAACGGCTGCAGGAGGAGGAGCGGCAGGAGCGGCAGGAGCAGGAGCTGGAAGTGCTCTTGCTGGCACCAGCAGTGGTGGCAGCGGCAGCGGCGGTGGTGGTGTTGCTGGTGGTTCGGCCGGTGCTTCTGGTGCTGGTGGTGGGTCGTCGGGAGATGGGGGAGGGAAGGGCAAGGCAGCAGCAGCGGGGCCGGCAGTGCAGCCGCTGCGGTGCTGTCTCATCTCACTCACTCTCCCATGGGACCTCCTTGCCTTTGACCTTCTCTTCAAGGTGAAATGCTGATGGTGGCGGTGGCGGTGATGGTGATGGTGATGGTGATGGTGATGGTGATGGTGATGGTGCTGGTGGTGCTGGTGCTGGTGCTGGTGCTGGTGATGATGATGTGTGGTGCCTTTGTTGGTGATGCTGATGATGCTGACGGTGAGTGCCATACCAAGTCAAAGACGTGCGGTGCAACGCAAAGCAGACTTGTATGCCCCTTTCCTTCCCCACCCAGCACTCTCGTCCTTCACACACCCTCTTCTCTTGAACTTTGATGTAGTCCCTAACATTCTTCAAAAGTAATTCATCGCCCTCTCTCTCTTCTTCAAGCCCTCTCTCGTCTCTTCTCTCACCATGTCCCCTCCCCTCCATCCAGCACCACTGCTTTCTTGTTGCTCTGCTGCTTTCTTGCTGCTCCTCTGCACTAGGCGCCCATCAATACAGCGATCTCCCCCTTTCTAGAATCACCACATAAGCCTCCTCTAGTTTCATGTCTCTAAACCCCTGAACCCCCCACCCTTTTTCCTCCCTCCGCCCGTCTCCCCCTCGTCTGATGCATGTGAGCAGGAGATGCCGATCAAGATTGACGTTGGTGGAGGGGTCTTCCTTCCCCCCCATCACTGTCCCTTTCCTTTGTTACCTTTTCCTTCATCTCCCCCAGCCCACCTTCCCCCCTCCCCTCTCCCCCCTCCCCCACTCGTCCGGTACATGTGAGCAGGAGATGCCGATCAAGATTGACATTGGTGGACGGGTCTTCCCCCCCACTCGACCCAGACCTGTTGTCTCCGCTTAGATGCCCTTGCTTGCTTGCACCTTGCTTGCGCCCATGCACACCCTCTTCTGAGACGCCTCAACAGTCGCTTGCTTGCACCCATGCACACCCTCTTCCTGTCGCTATTCCTGCCTCTACCTCTCCCGCCACCTCTCCCTCTCCCTCTCTCTCTGCCTCTCCCTCTCCCTCTCCCTCTCCCTCTCCCTCTACCTCTCCCTCTCCCTCTCTCTCTCCTCTCTCTCCTCCCTCTCTCCCTCTCCCTCTCCCACTCCTCCCCCGTCTCTTTCTCACACCCACACACTCCCTACCTGCACCTATCCTCCCTCCTTACCCACACGGCACACAAGCATGCAGATTCTCCATCTCTTTCTCTCAGCAGCGCATGCCCGCCCCGCTCCCATTTCTCCGTGCGTGGTCCAACTTCCCCCTGAAACCGTCTCAGCAATCGGCTCTGCAGAGCAATAGCTGCATTGCACACGACTCACGATTGCGGTGCAAAAAATTCCCTAGCGTCCTGCCTGCCTTGTTCCATATTCATCCGCCCTCCTTCCTTACCACTGCTCGCCCTGCTGCTATACAGCCCCTCATGCGTAACAAACTGTACCGGTACATCTACACTACACTGATTGGAGTGTGATGTGATGAGATTGTTCCACCCATCCATCCCATGCCCGTAGTTTGATGCACCCTTGAGTGCAACATGGTTCCTTTACTTTCTGTGGTATGGTGAGGTGGTACCACCATGGGTGGAGGGGTGGTAGATGGGGGTAGAGGGGAGGGGGGGTGGCACAGTCTCTGCCAATGTTCGCTTTACAGAACAGAAGAATAAAGTGTGTATTTTCAGTGTTGTGTTGCTTGAAAACTTACAAACTTATTCGTAGCACCTACTCATGTACCACTGTTCCATTCCTAAGCTGGTGGAATTCATTGAAGGGTATCGGTACTAGTAGTACACTCGGTATGTCAAATGCGGGAAGCCCATATACTTGAGCATCTTGCCATCTACCATATGCAAATGCTTTAGGGTGCATTTGTTCATGTCTTGGCTGAAAGTATAATCACTAGATACACTGTATTAATATACATGCGGAGAGCAGTTGTTTTGCCATCACAACAAGAACGGTAGCTACTGTACAGTACACAAAACAACAGTGCACCTAGCACGAGAATGACTACAACCACCGTCACTGCATCTCACCTTCCCTGCACGGCCCGTTCCAGCTCAAGAATCCGTTCAGCAGCTGGACTGGAACTTGGGTGGAAGGTGGAAGGCCAGGAAGCGATGCAGCAGCCTCTCTGCTACACGCATACCCTCGTGCATCACCTGCTCTTGCTCATGCTGATGCAGCTGCTGCTCTTCCTCTTGCTGCTGCTGCTGCAGCTGGCGGGGAGATGAGTGGAGGGCCCGGGCGAGGAGAGCAACGCGAGAAGGCTTCATGTGACACACCACCACAATGGCACCTTCGACCACCCTCCACGCACCTCCAGCAGGAAAGCAGCTGCTGCTGCTGCTGCTGCTGTTAGTGGTGGTGGCTGATCCCTCTGGCTGCTCTTGCTGCTTCCGCTCCTCCTGCCTCTCGCTCAGCACATCAACCGAGCACTGAAGCTGGTCCAGGGCCTTGGCCGCATCCAACCACTCACAAAACCCCCGCATGTCGCCAAACTCCTGCCTCCACTCCTCCACTCCACCACGGCCACCACTCCCTTCCTGATTAGCAGCACCAAGCCCTCCCCTCCGCCCATCCACACGAGAAGAAGAAGCAGCCATGCTTCTACCAGCATACTGGTGCCGTGGAGGCAGGGCGGAGGCTAGGGAGGCTGCAGTGTCGGCCCCGTACAGGCGAAAATAGTCTTCTAGGTTCGCTGCTACACATGCGGGTCCCCCGAATATGTCCGCTACCCTGAAGGGATGAGAGGCGGAGGGGGTAGGGGAGAAGGGAACGGGGGCAGAGAAAAGGGGAGAGGGGGGAGGCGGGGAAAAGGGGGAGAGAGGGGGTAAGAGGGGGGCGCAGTGCAGGCGGAGTAGATACAGGGAGCAAGGGGAAGAGGAGTGGAGTGGATATGCCCGGGGCGTAAGCGGATGGTGGGGGTCCAGGGGGATGCGCGGGGGAGGAGGGGAGGTAGGGGCGCAGCAAGGAGGGCGGTGGGGAAGCAGGGAGAGGGATGGAGAAAGGACACGGGTGGAGCAGGGAGTGCGGCAGAGAGCAGGCAGACAGAGAGCAGGCAGTGGAGAGGCGTGATGGACAAGTGGGGACGGACCTGGTAGCTCGGCGCGCCACACAGGGCATGTGCCAGTGGGGGAAGCGGCACACATGCGCGATCCACGCGCAGAAGCGCGGAGACCCCACGTGCTGCCACTCCCCGCCGTCTAGCACGTACGCGGCAGCCGCGTCGTCCAGCCACTGCAGCGGCGGCTCCCCCCGCCGCCCCTCGCGCAGCTGGCGCAGGTACCGCCCGCGCACGCCTAGCTTGCGGATCTGCTCCCTCTCTTCCGCCTCCGCCCTCGCCTTCTGCGGCAGCTCCCGCTGCTGCTCCCGCTGCGGCTGCTGCGGCGGCTGCTGCGGCTGCGGTGCGCGCAGCTCCGCGCGTTGCGCCTCAGGGGCGCTGATGGTCGCGGAGAGGCGCTCGAGGCAACTCACAATGCGCGCATATTGACCCGGAAAGTCCGCATCGCCCACTATCGCCTGCCATGGCTTTAAATAGTACTGCCATCCGTTCCACTCAAACCACACCCGCGAGCCGCCGTCTCTTTCCCCCTCGCCTGGTACCGCCTCCCCCTCCCCCTCCTCCTCCCGCTCCGCCCCTTCTTCCCCCCGTTGCAACTCCCCCCCTCCCCAGATACCACACCCTCTCCCGCTTTCGTCCCCGAAACCGAGTCCGCGACCCTCCGCCTTTCCGCCCGAGGTCTCCGCCACACACCATGCGCGCACCTCTGCGCGGAGCTCTTCCTGCGCGCGCACGATGGCGCGCACCGTCCGCGCGTCCACGCGCACGCTTCCCCCTCTGCCGATTCCTTCCGCGCCCCCGATTGCTTCCGCCTTCAGCAGCCGTTGGCGGCGCCAGAGCGCCACGCGCAGAGAGAGATGCTTCGCCAAGGCGGAGAAAAGCGCGCCGAGGGGCGCAGGGGGAGGCGCAAGGAGGGAACCCGCGCGGGAAAACCAGCGTGTTTTTCCCGGCGGAAAAGATTGGGCGGAGGTTGAGGGGTAAGGGGAAGAGGGAGTTTGCGGGGAGACAGGGGAGAGGGAGGAGGGGGAGGAGGACGACGGGGAGGGGGACGAAGAGGGGGAAGAGGGGGAGGAAGCCTGCGCGGGGGAGAGTGCAGGGGCACTGAAAGGAATGCGAGAGAGGGAGAAGGGAGGGCGCGGCGTTGACGGCGTGCAAGCAGGGTCGGAGAGTTCAAGAGCGGGGAGGCTGGGGGAAAACTGGCGGAGACTGGCGGAACTCGCAAGGGGTGAGACGGGCGGGGTGACGCGCGAGGGCGCGGCGGGGCGCGCGGACGCGTAGAGCGTAGACCGAAGGGGAGCGGGGCCGGCGGGAGATGGGGAGAGAGGGACGGCAGGGGGAGGGATGGAAAGCGGGGGAACGGGGAAGGCGAGCGGGGGATGGAACCACTTGGCGGAGGAGTGTTGCGTGCAGTGGAGCGCGGCGGGGATGCGCCCATGGCCGTCGTCTGGCGGCGACAGAATATCCACCAGCAAGTCGCCATCCAATAGCGACGCGTCGTCGGCATCGCCGCCAGCGCCGCCCGCGTCGCCTCTCTCGTCGACATCCTCTCCCGCACTCTGCGCCTCCGCGCGATTCGATTTCCGTTCTTTATCTTCCTCCGCCGACGCCACTGCCGGTACTGCCGGTAAGAGTCCTTCCCAACAGCTCCCCGTCGCTGCTGCCGTTTCTCCTCCGCCCACCGCTTCCGCCAATGCGCTCCTCACCGCACTTATGCTCGCACCACTCCCCTCAGGATCCCCTTCAGAGCACGCCCCTTGCGGCCTTACCGCCGGGCTTCCTCTTTCCTCCGCTTCGCACCTTCCCAACACCCCATAAACATCAACCGCATCACCTTCCGCGTTTCCCGCATCTGCCCTCAGCGCCCGCGAGCCCGCCGCCGCTTCCGCGGGTCGCGTGGAGGGGGCGGGGCTGCGGGGTGCTTCTAACGAGGGGATGGGCGTTGGCGGTCGGAAGAACGGCTGGTGCGGGATTGGGCGGCAGACTGAAGATTGCGAGTCCTGCTGCTGGCATAAAGGGAAACCCGCCTCGGCTCTTAATTGCTGCTCCTGCTCCTGCTGCTGTTGCTGGTGGTTTTTGGCGTCGACTTGCGGCGGCTCTAGTGATGCGCTCCTGCCGCCGCTTTCGCCACTGCTTGGGGATGCCGCCGCGCCAAAGAGCGACCACGAGCGATTGAACCGAGAGCCTCGGCCGTGCCGCCCGCTAATGCCGCTGCTATGGTGGCCGGTCTCTATCGGCCCCGAGGAAACCGTCGCATGGTCCGTCGCATGGGCGTCGCCGGGCGACGACGAAGGCGCAGAGGACAAGTCGTCGTCCGCGTCGTCGTCGCGGCAGCAGCAGGGGCAGCGACAGGACTTGAGACCATCGCGGACGTATTCACGATGAGATATGGCGGAGCGAGCAGAGGTGATGCCCAGAGGGTTCGGGGGAAGGCCGGGGGAAGTCCACGCGGCGACGCTCCGAATAGGCTCCCTCGCTGACCGGAACGCGGTCGAGTTGAAGCTGACGTCACTGCTGCTGTAGCTGGTGGTGCTGCTGGTGGTGGTGTTGCTAGATGGAAGAGCTCCCGACTTGCCATCGCTTGTCGTGCAGTCAGAAAACGAGGCGAGTCGGCTGGAAACATCGGGCTCGACAGAGGCATGTTCTACAGCATGAGTTGTGGCTTTGATAGAAGCTGTGGCAGCTGCCATGACTCGCTACAAACGCCTGGTGGAACGGCTTGTCCTAAGGAGCTGCCTTTTTAGCTTGGCAGTGTGTGATGGGGCTGCTTGTGTACGGGTTTAGGTGCTTATTTCAACCCTCGAGCAGCTGGAGTGGGTGAGCCTTCAGCTATTGTAGAAAGGAGCAGAATGTAACAGAGGGGAAGAGAGTACCAGATACAGACAGACAGGTCCGTGGGTGGGGGAAGCGCGGGTCGTTGCGATTGGCAGAGACAAAACATGTGCGGGTTGGGGATTTTCGGGTTTGAACTGGGTATGAAACGGACAAACGGCGGAAGCATCGCTGCAAAATGGTGCATGGACTGTTGCCTTCTCGAAGCACTGGGGAATAAACGTATGTAATCCTGAGGTCTAGACTGTAAAATCAGTGGGTTGTGTTGATATACAAGTATTAGAGAATAACATGACGGTGGGCAGGATTATTTAGAAAGCTAACAGCTACACGTGATAATTCACGGACGTGTACTGCGCACGGGAAGGCGACCACAACAGTTACCACGTGAAACTTCAAATCTAAAACATCGCAGCGGTAACGACGCGTGATGCCAACCCATGTGCAATTTAACAGTGCACACAGTAGTTTTTCTGTTAGGACGTGGGCCCAATCGACTTTGATCGGCTCGGATCTGATCGGGTTGGATTGGATCGAATTGCTTGTGATCGTTTTTCTCGCGCCGCCCGATCAGAATTGATTTTCCTCGAATATTCTGCGCTCTTGCATAACAACCGGTGGTCCATTACCTGGTAGTTGCACCCCAACTTTTGCGCGATGGGCGAATCCAGGTATCGTGGTAATGTCGCAATATCGCACTGAGCAAAGAGTCCGCTCCAGAACTGTTCTCGCTGGTCTGTATGTATAAGCGAGGATTTTCGAGACCTCATGGCGAGGCGTATTACATTTCGCTCACATCGCCTAGAGCCCCGATCACATGCAATCAAGTGATCGGGGCTGATTGTGTCTGATCGGGTCTGATCGGGCTGTTCGAGGCAGTTGATCGAGTTGGCGCGATCAGCTGATTGTCCCCGATTGCCTGAAATTGGCTTCCCGCCTTCCTAGAAGTTATTGATCGCTGCTGATCAAAGTCGATTGGGCCCACGTCCTTAGAGAAATATCCGCCAGCTGGCCCTCTCAAGTACCTGACCCTTACCGACAAAGTAAGTTGAGGACAGCTGTCGTACCTTTGGGATGACTAACTGTGTAGCATTCCGTAAGTGTGGTCACTTCGGATCGCAAATGCGATTCGATGTCATGTGTCACTCCATTCATACGGCTCAGGATGACAGGGCGTTTTTTTCTGTTTGGCATGCTACCCAGAGTCATCGCACTCCAAATGCCGCATCTACAAACATTACTACCCTTGACACAATGACATCGGATCAAATTCTACTGTGTCCGGGCTCGATTCAGCAAGCACCCTGCTGAAAATGTCGAATTCCCGCTCAATTCAATAACTAATAGACACCCTCAGGTTTCTTGCAGTGGGAGGATGAACCTTGTTCACGACTCGGATGATCGGATCCGTCAGCGCTACCCAAAACGACATGAGGGCAGTCTCGACTCTCGAGGGAGAGCCGTTCCGCTGCCAGGATTTTTTTTTTTTTTTTGAAATTGACATATACATTTATGAGGACAATGCATACATCAAAAGCAGTCGTAACTGAGCGTGAGGGCACTGCACCATGCACTGCCCAGTAATGCATCTAGGGCGGCAGGAACGCCCGCTTTGGCTTGTTCCAGATAGCAGCGAAGTTTGTCGACCACTTCCATTTTTTGTCACCTGTCTCCCTTATCCTCGCCAGCATTTTTTGCTCCGCTTCGAAAACACTCCTGACCCGTTTTCCCTTCCCTGATGTCCCTGGCCGCAAGCTTTTGGCACCCATTGCTCTCGTGTACACTCTCGCGTGTAGCCTAAAAGCCGACCCAATCCTCCTGAGAACCCTCCGGGCTCTGAATTTCTGCCCTCGGAAAGTTGCTTCACATCTCTCCACCCACAGCTGATGAAAAGTAATCGATGTGAGGGTAGCCTCCGGGAAATCCGACGCCGTTCCGGTTTCTTGGAACAAGAGGTCCCCCAGCGAGGCAGTTGTCCTCCCTGGATTGAGCATGCGCAGAGCACGACGGAGCCCTGAGACAACTGGCTGAATTCTCGGGCAGGAGAAAAGACAGTGTTCGTGCGTTTCCTCCACTCCGCAGTATGGGCATTTTGGCTTGCAGCTGAGAAAATCAACTCGCTCCCCGACCTGAAGGTTCAGGTTATGCACCCGTGTGAGGACATCTCTCGGTCGGCTCGGGATGGCCAGCGAGTTACGTGTGCGAATGATTCGCTGCCAGTCAATCTTGCCGCACCATCGACCAGACCACTTTGCCTGCTTCGTTAGGACTGCATCGGGTTTGGTCCACACCTCCCTCATCCGCTTCAGAGAAGCTGCTCGCTCTCCGTCAAAAATTGCTGACCGGAAAATCGCTGCCAGGATTTTGACCAATCGGGCTAGCGGAAATGGGATTGGTCAGCCCCGACGACAAATTCATTTGCACCCTCAACTCTATGTTCAGCAAGGGGGGGTCCACGATGAACCTCCCTACTCTGTTACAACCACGCCTACCACAGTCCAGCAGTGCTCACGAAATATACCTACATTAGTTTTATCATCAGTGTTCTGGTCTACACAGCCTTAATTGCGTACTCTATGTGCTGGAATAGAAACACATGGCATGGGTATTTTCCAGATAAACATATAATGCCACTAGTACAATGAACGCGCACATCAAACCCACACAACTCAGCTTACAGCTCAAACCCTTCGCAAGCCATTTGGTCGATGTACAAACGGCGTGCAGCACACTTGTTCCTGGTCTGTCCGAACCCATTCGAAAGCATCACATCAATGTCATCCCAAACCCATTGGAACAGCTGAGCACACCCTGTCGCGGATGTGCTTTCGGAGAATGTTATACTGGCATGTCTCGGATACATGTCACTCAGGCACAACCTACCTCCCTCACACATCCCCATATCAACTCTCATCCTGCATTCCTTCAGCCTCTTCCTCCGCTGCTTCCCTTCCTCTGCGAAAATTCTTCCTGCCCGACTTTCCTCCGCCCGTCCTGAAACATCCCTTAGCTGGTCGTGCCCCATGCCCCTCTTTATCCCCCGAGGCTGCAAGACTAGCAGACACATCCTGGAAAGCATCAGCAGCACCAGGGGTGTCCGTACTACCCGCAGTAGCAGAAACAGCGATGGATAGGTTTCCAGAAGCAGCAGCAGCAGCAGCAGCAGCAGCAGGAGGAGGAGGAGGAGCAGCAGGAGCGGCCACAGCAGCAGCAGGAGAAACATCCGCATCAAGCATGGAAGAGGCATCAGCATCGTCCAGCATGCCAGATGCTGCTATGCCAACAGGGCCTGCTCCCCTAACCCCACCAGCACCAGTACTATCGCCACTGCCAGCAGCAGCAGGAGCAGCAAGAGCAACAGCAGCAGAAGCAGCAGCAACAGGAGCAGCGGCAGCAGCAGCAGCGCCATCCACTTGCATGTCGTCGTTCTTGTCGTGCCCTTTCTTCCTGCCTGCACCGGCCTGTCTCTCCGTGCGCCTCACAAACACAACTCGCTTCGGCAACCCACCTTCTTCCACCGCTCCCAATCCCACTCCTGCCCCTGCTCCAACTCCTGCTCCTGTTCCTTCTCCTGCTCCTGCTGCTGCCTTTCCACCCGCGTCACTCTCCCCACTCACATATGCCCCGCTCCCCGCATCAGAGTCCCCCAGCCTGCCTGTTCGCACGTGCCTCACAGCCATAGCCTGCTGCAGCGCTGCTCTATACTCCCCCATCTCCCCCATCTCCCCATTCTCCCCAATCCCCCCATCCCCACTAATGTCCCCTTCTCCCCCAGCACTGGCCCCTCCCCCGCGCTCACCTGCGGGGCCCCCTTCTCCCCACCCCCCAGCCCACCAGTCCACCTCATAAGCCGTGTATTTGTGTGGATTGCGCACGTGATCTGGCACACGGCTATCACTCCCCTTTCTTCCTCTCCCCCCTCCTCCACTCCCCCTCCCTCCCCAACCACTGCTCCCCTCACTCATCCCCTGCTCTGCTTCTCCACCCGCACTGCTGCTCCCTGCCTCACACATACCATCAGTCATCGCTTCCAACCCCTCTCCACCACTCCCACGCAGCGTCTTACCCGCCTCCCTCCGTGCATCGCCACCGCCAGTCCCGCCTAGCCCCTTGTCTGTTTCCGCCTGCTGCTTCCCTCTTGCACCCTCGTCCACTAAAGCACCTTCCTGCACGCCCACTGCGCCCTTGCTACTTTCATCAACTCCCCCCACGGCATCTGTAGCATTTGACGCAACTGAAGGAGCGGTGGCATTTGAAGCAACTGCAGCATCTGTAAAATTTGAACCATCAATCCTTCCACTCCCTCCTGTTCCTGTACCATCCCCACCGGCAGCAGCTATCCCCTTGCCTTGCGTACCACTGACATTAGCCCGGCTCATCTGCCCACATATCAACCCCATTAGCCTCTGCCCTACTCCCATCTTCTGCCGTCTCTTCCCCCCCGCCCACGCCCCCCCACCTCCCCATCCCCCTCCTCCTCCCCACGCACCTCCATCGTCCTTCACTCCCTTCCCTCCATGCCCGGGACCCATGCCACCACTCACTCCCCCCCGCCCCTGCCCCTGCCATCCCATGCGAAATAAGCCCCCCATAGGCTTTATTACCCCCTCCTCTTCTTCCTCCCCGCCCAGCACTCCTTGGGCGAACCTCACCCTGCGCTGCCTCTGCCTCCGCCCCTCCCCCGGCCCATCCAAGCCACTTTCCCTCGTGCTACCGTCGCCCTTCAATTCTCCTACACCTGCTGCTCCTCCTCCTGCTGCTGCTGCCGCTATAGCTGCTGTGGTTCCAACGTCCCCTCCTTGCCTTGCCCTATCCTCTTTACTATCTGTGTCCGCCCTTGACCGCTTCCCCAGCTTCAATATTCCCTTCAATGCTGTGCCGCTCCTGCTGGTACTGAGGGGAGATTTGGACTCAGACGCACACTCCGCAGCTGTAACAGCAGCAGCAGCAGCAGCAGCAGCAGCAGCAGCAGCAGCAGCAGCAGCAGCAGCAGCAGCAGCAGCAGCAGCAGCAGCAGCAGCAGCAGCAGCAGCAGCAGCAGCAGCAGCAGCAGCAGCAGCAGCAGCAGCAGCAGCAGCAGCAGCAGCAGCAGCAGCGGCAGCAGCACTGCCAGTGACAGCCGTAGCAGCAACACCACAAGTCGAAGCAGCAGCAGCAGCAGCAGCAGCAACAAGCGCAGTAGCATTCGCACCACCGGCAGCAGAAGCAGCAGCAGCAAGAGAACTCCCCTTCTCCTTCCCTTCCTCACGCTTCTCCCTTACTTCCACTTCCACGCCCTCTCCTTTCTCTCCTGCCTCCACTCCCATCCCTAGCTCCTCTTGCTCGCTCCCATCCACCCCAATCATCTCTACAGGAACCACGCCCACGCCATGCCCCGGCATGTCTGCATCACCCCACTCCTTCCTGGCATATTGGCCTTCTCTTTTACCTTGCTTTCCTGCACCAACTCCCACCCCTTCCCCTTCCCTTTCCCCTTCCCTTTCCCCTTCCCCTTCCCCTTCTCCTTCTCCTGTCACAGTAACCTCTACAGCCCCGGCTAGACTCAGCTCTCCTTCAGGCCTCCTCCCCTCGCTCTTCTCCCCTTCGTCCGATCGTCCCGCCTGCTCTATACCACCTGCTTCCTTTCCACCAGTATCCGCGATTGCAGTATCGGCACTAGCAATCACCATCTTAGAAGCTAGGCCACTTTCCCCCTCAGAAGCAGGACCAGTGGCAGCAGCAGAAACAGAAGCAGGAGCAGCAGGAACAGGGGCAGCAGGAGCAGCAGCAGTGGCAACACCTGCACCCACCTCCTCCTCGCGCATATCAACATCCCTCTCAACCACTCCTCCACGTGCCCCCTCCTCCCCACCACTCTTCTCCCCATCGTCATCCATCTCCCCAATATCTTCCAAATCCTTCTCCCAGCATCCCATCCCGTCCTTCTCCTCCTTCCCCATACCCTCCCCTCCACCACCATTTCCCCCCCTCTCCTCTCTCCTCCCTTCACCACAACTCTCCCCTTCCCCTTCTCCCTCAACACTCTCCGCCAGCCCCGCCTGCCCCGCCTTCCTCCCCGCCCCCCTGCTCCAAAGCCCTGAACCCCAACCCCCCTCCCCCAGGCGGAAATCACTCACAACACCAACAGCAGCACCAGTCCCAGCGCTGCCACTCTCCTTACTCGCACCACCACCACCACCACCAGCAGCAGCACCAGCACCTGCCGTGGTGCCAGCCTTAAAGAGCTCATCGAACGCCTCGTTCCAGCTTTGCCTTCCACGCCATCCCCCTGCCCCTGCTGCTGCCCCTGCTGCGGCCCCTGCCGCTCCTGCTGCTGCCCCTGCTGCTGCCCCTGCTGCTGCCCCTGCCGCCCCTGCTGCTGCCCCTGCTGCTGCCCCTGCTGCTGCCCCTGCCGCCCCTGCTGCTGCCCCTGCTGCTGCCCCTGCCGCCCCTGCTGCTGCCCCTGCTGCTCCTGCTTCACCTGCTGCTCCCTGCGCTGCCTGTTCAGGTGAGATTCCTGGTGTGGGTCCCGCGCCCAGCTCATCGCCTTCTCCACCTGCTGCTCCGCCCTTGCCGTCCTTCTTTGCTACTCCCTCAGATAAAACCCCTGCTCCTCCTGCTCCTGCATCTGCTTCTGCCCGTGCCCCTGTTCCAGCCACTGCTCCTTTCCCGGGTGGCCCAATCTGCGTTCCTCCGAGTGCATGCGAGGAGGCCCAGGAGGGTTCCAGCAGGCCCGCAGCGCCAGCCACGGCAGCAGCGCCAGACCCCTGCGCCTGCCGCCAGTCCTCCTCCAGCCTCCGCGCTGCACTCTCCACGTCCCCTCTCCCCCGCCTCGTGCCTGCAGCACCCGCCGTAACACCCGCCGCCGCACCTGCCGCTGCACCTGCCGCTGCACCCGCGGCTGCGCCCGCAGAAGCAGGCGCGGCAGCAGCAGGAAGAGCTGCAGCGCCGCCAAGAACAGCGGCAGGAGACGCACCAGAAGCAGCGTTAGCAGCAGAGTCAGCAGCAGCAGCGGCCTCTAGCGCTGCGCCTTGTGATGCCGCTCTGAGGTCCTCCCCAGCTCCCATCCGCTGGAAAATCAACCCCACTCGATCCACATGCTCCTGAAACTCGTTCCGCCAGTCCACCCTCCCCCGCCCCAACCCTCGCCCGCCCCCCCGCCCCCTCCCCTTCCCCCGCAACCCCCTCCCCGGCCCCTTCCCTTTCCCCTTCCCCCTCCCCACTGGCACCAGCGCCCCCGCCGACGCTCCCCTCGTCCCCGCCCCCGCTGCTCCTCCCGTCCGCGCCCCTCCCTTTCCCGCGCCTCCCTCCCCAACCCCTCTCAAAACCCCACCACCGGCCGTCGCCACGTCATCCTCATCCGGTTCCTCGTCAGAAACCTCGCGCTCCAGGTCAGCATCCTCCCCTCCTCCTCCGCCGCCACCGCCTAATCTCCCGAGCCCCACGCCCTCGGCGAAACGGTCGTAATCGTCTTCCTCCTCCTCCATATCGAGTGTATCGTCCGTGCCCACCCATCGCGCCATATCTTGCGCCTCTTCCGCCGCCCCCATCGTCGCGCGCAAATTCAACTCCCCTCCTCCGCTCCCCCCTCTTGCGCCACCGCCCCTTCCGCTCATCCGATCCTCGTCCCCTCCTATATCACTCCAACCCTCCTCATCCTCCTCGTCCTCCTCATCCTTATCTTCATCATCATCATCCTCTCCCTTCGCTCCCGCCGCCGCCGCTCTCGCTGCCCCTGCCGCCGCGGCTTCCATGTACTCTCGCCTCGCGATTCGCCTCGCCTCCTCCTCCATCTCCTCCTCCTCCTCGTCATCGTCGTCCTCGTCACCGTCCGATACCCATCGGCCATACTGATCAATCACGCGGTCAGATGCTGCTGGGTCACCAGCGTCGCACTCCGTAATACGAACCATGGTCGCGAAACGCTACCGAGACCGTGTGCTACGTAGGTTGCAAGCCCGATCCTGACGTTTTCGAGGCGTTTCGAAATACCTACAACTGGCACACAGGTTCCAAAGAAAATCCCGAAGTGCCTAATTCCACAAATTCCAATCTGGATTTACCGCAAGCTATAGTTGCCGTAATACAAGTACGTCGCTTTAGCCAGACGCTTTAGCCAGATCCTAGGGAGAGACGAGGTTTCGTCAGTTGTGCTGGTATAAAAGCTCAACTGCGTAGCTTGCACTAAAAGCAATGCTACATCGAATTTTACTTTCGCATGAACATTCCAAATCGATTTTCACGTAGGGGAATAAAAGCAATCCTTGTCAAACCAACAACATTTGTACAAAACTCCATCCAAGAAGTTTGAAGTGCATCCTTGCACAGAATGTTGGAGAATATTACTGCACCAGGCCCTCAGATATCAGCATAAAACACGCTGATTACGCTGATTTTGTAGCTCTGATTTCCGTTTTCCCTGAAAAATCAGTATATGCCTCATTTATGCACTGTAATTTCAGTATTTGCAATTTTGCCACACTGACCATCTTGCGGGTTTCAGAACAAGTAACACTGACGAATCAGTATACTTCAGCGAGTCACACTGAAACGGACTTGACCGCCCGGGGGGGGGGGGGGGGGCGACGCGTTTACAGACTGTGCCTTCCCACGAAACCCCACCCCACCCACACACTTGGAATCTTTTCACATGCGCTGTACTTGCAGCATGTGCGCGCCGAACCGTTTTGCCTCGCTGGAAGCCATCACACCAGAGTACGATGAACCTAGTTCAACAACTGCCCAATGAGAACACAGACAGCACACCACTGCTGGCACGGTCCACACCAACACGCCATAAAATATGGCAGTGGGGTGGGTGGGGGTGTTGTCATCTTGCCTGGAAAGACGGAAACCCAGGACCACGATCCCTCGCCATGGCGGCTCGGGAGAGGGGGTACCCCCATCTGCTCCCTCATTCTGTTCCTGCACTCGTCGTGAACCCCTGCAGGAAGTGACGTTCGAGCTCAACCTGACAGTAGCTTCCCTCTCAAGCTCGGCACGCTCAGCACAGCTGAGCAGCCATGGCGGATCCAACGCCCGCAGGTGACAACCCTGAATCCGTCCCAGCCACGAAGCCAGCCGCCCTTACTGGCCTAGACTTCTTACGACGAGCTTCAGCTGCTCCCGTGTTAGTTTCGCCATCAGCTCCTACCGTTGTTTTCCCTTCCTCGGGCCCCGAGGCACCTACCATCTGGACGCAGGGCGAGTGTTCGACGCATGCTGGCGCTGCCGCATTACCTCGTGTCGCTGCCGCATCAACTCCTGCCGCTGCCGCATCAACTCCTGACGCTGCCGCATCAACTCCTGACTCTGCCGCATCAACTCCTGACGCTGCCGCATCAACTCCTGTCGCTCCCGAACCCACACGGAACCGTCATCCTGTCGCTGCCGGAACTACTCGCGTCGGACCCCGTCTCAAAAGGGGTATCAAAGTGACGTACCGCCAAACAAAGATCAACTGGGGTGCCAGTCAAGCTACGCCAACGTCTGGTGTGGGGAACTCCTCCCCGGAGGCCCGACAGCGTAAACAGAAGGGGAAAGCGGTTGAGGTTACCTCCGAAACAGAACTGCCCGACATAGCCGAGGAGAAATACCAGGATGCCTTATTTATGTTCAACAAACAGTGGTCTGACGACTATCCGTGGCTTGTTCTGTGTCAGACGAGTGCAGGGTTCCCGTCAATCAAGTGCTCGGTCTGCATTGTGTCAAAGTTATTTTATGTAACTGCTTGTGGTTTAGGTATAGTGTATTTATCTTGTCTTCTGTTTGGTGGTGCACCTCTAGTTTCTTGACTATATGTTGTATCTCTTTGCTATTATTGAACCCTTCTTGTTTGGCCAAACCCTCTCGACCTCCCTCTCGACCTTCCTCTCGCTATCACTCTCGCTATCTCCATGGCTCCTAAGTTCCTCAGCACTGTCCTTTACCTTGCATGTTTTGACACGTCTCAGCACCAGTCCTTTACCTTGCATGTTTTGACACGTCTCAGCACCAGTCCTTTACCTTGCATGTTTTGACACGTCTCAGCACCAGTCCTTTACCTTGCATGTTTTGACACGTCTCAGCACCAGTCCTTTACCTTGCATGTTTTGACACGTCTCAGCACCAGTCCTTTACCTTGCATGTTTTGACACGTCTCAGCACCAGTCCTTTACCTTGCATGTTTTGACACGTCTCAGCACCAGTCCTTTACCTTGCATGTTTTGACACGTCTCAGCACCAGTCCTTTACCTTGCATGTTTTGACACGTCTCAGCACCAGTCCTTTACCTTGCATGTTTTGACACGTCTCAGCACCAGTCCTTTACCTTGCATGTTTTGACACGTCTCAGCACCAGTCCTTTACCTTGCATGTTTTGACACGTCTCAGCACCAGTCCTTTACCTTGCATGTTTTGACACGTCTCAGCACCAGTCCTTTACCTTGCATGTTTTGACACGTCTCAGCACCAGTCCTTTACCTTGCATGTTTTGACACGTCTCAGCACCAGTCCTTTACCTTGCATGTTTTGACACGTCTCAGCACCAGTCCTTTACCTTGCATGTTTTGACACGTCTCAGCACCAGTCCTTTACCTTGCATGTTTTGACACGTCTCAGCACCAGTCCTTTACCTTGCATGTTTTGACACGTCTCAGCACCAGTCCTTTACCTTGCATGTTTTGACACGTCTCAGCACCAGTCCTTTACCTTGCATGTTTTGACACGTCTCAGCACCAGTCCTTTACCTTGCATGTTTTGACACGTCTCAGCACCAGTCCTTTACCTTGCATGTTTTGACACGTCTCAGCACCAGTCCTTTACCTTGCATGTTTTGACACGTCTCAGCACCAGTCCTTTACCTTGCATGTTTTGACACGTCTCACCACCAGTCCTTTACCTTGCATGTTTTGACACGTCTCAGCACCAGTCCTTTACCTTGCATGTTTTGACACGTCTCAGCACCAGTCCTTTACCTTGCATGTTTTGACACGTCTCACCACCAGTCCTTTACCTTGCATGTTTTGACACGTCTCAGCACCAGTCCTTTACCTTGCATGTTTTGACACGTCTCAGCACCAGTCCTTTACCTTGCATGTTTTGACACGTCTCAGCACCAGTCCTTTACCTTGCATGTTTTGACACGTCTCAGCACCAGTCCTTTACCTTGCATGTTTTGACAGATCTCAGCACCAGTCCTTTACCTTGCATGTTTTGACACGTCTCAGCACCAGTCCTTTACCTTGCATGTTTTGACACGTCTCAGCACCAGTCCTTTACCTTGCATGTTTTGACACGTCTCAGCACCAGTCCTTTACCTTGCATGTTTTGACACGTCTCAGCACCAGTCCTTTACCTTGCATGTTTTGACACGTCTCAGCACCAGTCCTTTACCTTGCATGTTTTGACACGTCTCAGCACCAGTCCTTTACCTTGCATGTTTTGACACGTCTCAGCACCAGTCCTTTACCTTGCATGTTTTGACACGTCTCAACACCAGTCCTTTACCTTGCATGTTTTGACACGTCTCAGCACCAGTCCTTTACCTTGCATGTTTTGACACGTCTCAGCACCAGTCCTTTACCTTGCATGTTTTGACACGTCTCAGCACCAGTCCTTTACCTTGCATGTTTTGACACGTCTCAGCACCAGTCCTTTACCTTGCATGTTTTGACACGTCTCAGCACCAGTCCTTTACCTTGCATGTTTTGACACGTCTCAGCACCAGTCCTTTACCTTGCATGTTTTGACACGTCTCAGCACCAGTCCTTTACCTTGCATGTTTTGACACGTCTCAGCACCAGTCCTTTACCTTGCATGTTTTGACACGTCTCAGCACCAGTCCTTTACCTTGCATGTTTTGACACGTCTCAGCACCAGTCCTTTACCTTGCATGTTTTGACACGTCTCAGCACCAGTCCTTTACCTTGCATGTTTTGACACGTCTCAGCACCAGTCCTTTACCTTGCATGTTTTGACACGTCTCAGCACCAGTCCTTTACCTTGCATGTTTTGACACGTCTCAGCACCAGTCCTTTACCTTGCATGTTTTGACACGTCTCAGCACCAGTCCTTTACCTTGCATGTTTTGACAGATCTCAGCACCAGTCCTTTACCTTGCATGTTTTGACACGTCTCAGCACCAGTCCTTTACCTTGCATGTTTTGACACGTCTCAGCACCAGTCCTTTACCTTGCATGTTTTGACACGTCTCAGCACCAGTCCTTTACCTTGCATGTTTTGACACGTCTCAGCACCAGTCCTTTACCTTGCATGTTTTGACACGTCTCACCACCAGTCCTTTACCTTGCATGTTTTGACACGTCTCAGCACCAGTCCTTTACCTTGCATGTTTTGACACGTCTCAGCACCAGTCCTTTACCTTGCATGTTTTGACACGTCTCAGCACCAGTCCTTTACCTTGCATGTTTTGACACGTCTCAGCACCAGTCCTTTACCTTGCATGTTTTGACACGTCTCAGCACCAGTCCTTTACCTTGCATGTTTTGACACGTCTCAGCACCAGTCCTTTACCTTGCATGTTTTGACACGTCTCAGCACCAGTCCTTTACCTTGCATGTTTTGACACGTCTCAGCACCAGTCCTTTACCTTGCATGTTTTGACACGTCTCAGCACCAGTCCTTTACCTTGCATGTTTTGACACGTCTCACCACCAGTCCTTTACCTTGCATGTTTTGACACGTCTCAGCACCAGTCCTTTACCTTGCATGTTTTGACACGTCTCAGCACCAGTCCTTTACCTTGCATGTTTTGACACGTCTCAGCACCAGTCCTTTACCTTGCATGTTTTGACACGTCTCAGCACCAGTCCTTTACCTTGCATGTTTTGACAGATCTCAGCACCAGTCCTTTACCTTGCATGTTTTGACACGTCTCAGCACCAGTCCTTTACCTTGCATGTTTTGACACGTC